TCACACCAGCCTTCGATCCCAAATGAGAGGCTTTGGCCGTGCCAATAAAGTTCAAGTCGTCAGGCAAATAGCGTGAGGGAATGCATCACTCGCATCCGCGCACTACATGTGCATCACGGCTAACTGGGCGGCCCAAAGAGGTCATCACGTTTCTATCGACCAATGTCGTGGAACCGTTGTCGACCCACCGTTCCATTTAACGCGCCACTGTAGGCCCGAGTCCCATTTTGGATTCATGACTACCACCGACCCAGCCCAGGATGTTGAGAAAGCGTGGGGTTTGGCTTGAGGGGAAGATGAGACATATGCAGTGTCTTCAGACAAGCTGTCAAGGAACTCACAGACATCACCAGACCGGCACAGCATACCCCCCTCCCCTTTCAAATTCGCCTAATACCGTCACGGAACTCAAGGGCTCTGATCCGGTTGAGCAACAATGAGATGCAGATTGTGAATGCGCGGCCTCTTACTGTGCCGTCCTTTAACAGTATTGCCCTCATTACGCCAAGATGGCGGCCACCATTTTTTGTCGGCGGTTATGGTTTGGTTTTGACCATCGGTCACCCTGCCCGAGAGCGGAAGGTCACTCTTAGACGTCACTCTCGGACGGGCAAGCTCTGACACACTCAGCCTGCCTTCCAGAGGCTTCCGTGCAGGTGGTTCTCTGCATGCCGCCGAACAAGACTTGGAATTCGTGGGTGTTTGTTCCGCAGTAACCCCGCAGCATCACATGCCTATTATTGGCTTGTTTCCTGTGTGGCGTCTCCTGTACCACTTCATCAAGACCATCTGTTGTTGACTTTGGATCATGCCCAAGGGGCATCATTTCAGAGTCCGCTTTCGGCCCCTTGATGTTGATACGCTTCCTGCCCAAGGACCAAAAACCGAGGGTCGGCGTGGCCTCGTGGGGACAATATGGCATGTATAACAAAATCTGTCTGGGTAGGACCGAAACTTGAATCTCTGGTTGTGTTAACCACAAGCCTTTCCGTCTGGTTCTAGCTATCTATCCTTCAGAGGCACCCAGCCAGCTCATCCGGGACTGATGCAGAGAGAGCACTCATATTACCGGGTTGTGTCATACCAAAGTTGTGGGAGGGCATACAAACACCTCTGAGCCTCCTGTGTGGCGGGCTGAACGGTAATACAGTGGTTGCAGATTGCCACATGGCATCCATGTCCATGGTCGATGCTGGAGATGGTGTTTTCTCTACTGATCTCTGTGAAACATCAGTCAAAGGGAGCGCCGACAACTGCCGTTAGAAAGTTGAACGCTGAAACGGCACACAAGTCGCTCCCGGTCTCCTGGAAATGAAGGCAAGTATGACAATGGCCAACAAACTTCTCGTGTGTTCACATGGGGGGTTGGAACTTTGGGGTTTGGAGGCGGAGGTGACACAACACCCTCAATTCTAGACTTGATCTTTCTTCTACTACTACGCCTTGAAGGCAAAAAAGATACCAACTATCCCCAGGCCGAGGGAGTGATTCATGTCCGGCGGGGGGTTCGTGCCGGCCTGACAGGGGTTTGTATAATTCCCGGCACATACCACGGACCGGCCCGCCGCCTCCCGGTCCCCGCTCTCCCCGCTCCGGGTTTGGTTTGTTTATAATTCTAGAAACACCATCCAACACCACCACCACCATCACCACAACAACAACAACAATGTCAAACTCCTTTTCACCCCTCCAACCCAGGCACAACCCCATAGCTAACCCTCGAACACCCCTTACTCCTCCCAATCTTCCTCACCTTCACCTCCTCCCCACACAAATCCGTCCTCTCCACGTGCGTCCCGCCACAGGGGTAAACCTCCGCCCCGACAATCCTAACCACCCTCCACTTCTTTCCTCTTCCCCCTTCCGGCTTGATTACATTCTCCCCCTCCCCATCCCGTGGAAGAATCAACCTCTCCAACCCCTCCCTTGCAAAATCCTGCTGATCCCACCAGTCAATCTCCACTGGCATTTTTGCCTGTAGAAACTCGTTCACCTTGTCCTGAATCGGCCCCTTCCACTTGCCTTCGATCAACCCCCTAAACTCACATGCTGCCGAATCAGGGAAATGCGAGGCTTTGAGCTCGTCGAACCCTTCGATGTGGGACTCGAGGAGGTGCCGGACTGCGGAACCGAGGATGTGGCCTGCGGTGTGGAGGCGGGAGTAATACAACCTCTTTTTCACGTCAATCGCCTGGGTTACTTCATCCCCGGGACGAAAAACAGCATCTGGAGAAGGGAAGGTGCCCAAGTGGAGGACTTGGGAGGGGGAGGTGAGGGAGTGACGGACGGAGGTTACTGTGAATGACACTCCAGAGGAGGAGGAGGAGGAGGTGATTGTGCCCTCGTCTGAGGGCTGGCCTCCGCCTTGGGGGTGGAAAATTGTTGACGGGAACGTGAGGACGAAGGCGTTTTGTTTTTCTAAGGGGGGGGATGATTTGAAGAGGGATTGGTCTGGTTCTGGTAGGAGCGCAAAGGGGGTGATGGTGAGGAGGGTGGTGGGGTGGGTGGTGAGGGTTGAGTTGTGGTGGAAGAGGAGTTCGGTGGGAGGGGGGGTGGTCTAGGTAGGTTTGATCAGTGATTTGTTCAGGCTAGAAATTGGGGGGGTTTGGACTCACCATTTTGGAAGCTGATGCCCGGAACAGGCGGTGTTGGAGGGGGGTGGTAGGTGAGTTGAGATGTGATCTGAATGTGTCGCTGAAAATGCGCCTAGAACGGCTTTTATTCAGTGAAGGTGAAGAATACAAAGACCGGTGACGGGGAGATGAGATGGTGAGTCCGGGCAATCTGGCACGCCCTTGCATTGACAGGTCGTGACAGCGTCGAATGTTCTGGAAGCCTTCAAAGGCTCCAGGGATGCTGTTGCAGATGAACCAACGGGAAATATGACGTGCAGTTTGTTGAAAATTCGGGAAGGAAATAAACAGGGAAATATAGATGCAGAAATTTGGACGAGAAATTCAGCGGGCTGTTGAGCCTGTGTGTTGAACTTGGGTTAGGGTTGGGTAAGTATCGACTTGAACATGCTGATGATGCTCCGAGTCCCAAGTTTCACGTTTAAACGACGATTCACGGTTTCGTTCTGGGTACCTAAGTTCCAGAATGCTTTTATCACTGCCTACGATCCCACACTACAGACGGCATCCTTAATGGAAGTTGAGAAAAGTAATACATAACACAGCCGACAAGCGCCGACTGTGGCCAAGTCTCCAACTTATACCACGAGACCAAATGCTTCCACGTCTCTCCCATTCTCATTCCCACAAATAAATAACATCTTCACGTTATCCCACAAGTCACTCGACTCGGGAGGATTTCCTCACCCAAGTCTCCGGATTTAACGTCCCCATCCAGCACAAGCGTCCCGATCCAAACATCCATTGTCCTAGCATAAGAGATATCCTCCGCCTTCCTTATAATACCACCTCCCTTTTTGATGAGCGTTCCTCTTCTATAACCGCCTCCCCTTATAGGTTCCACATAACTCCTGAGCGCAGCAGCAGTAGCATCCCTCATCGACCTCAACACAGTCCTCATCTGGTCACCCCCTTCCAACCCCAACCCCTCAATCTCCCTCTCAAAACCCTCCCCCACAACCGAGTTTGTCTCCCAATCCCCATCACCCAGCTCTATCTCAGGCACCACCACCCCCTCCCTCTCCAACTTCCACCCCGTCTCCCTCGCAACCTGTTTGATCCCCTCGGGACTAACCAAACACCTCATATTTTCCGTGCTGCTCTCTACCCCCCTCTCTAGTTTTAACCCCTCCAAAGTCCCCCTCGCAATCGCAGCAAAAACATGCGGCAGTGCTTCTTTAACTGTAGCATGCAACGCAAACTCCGCAATCAACACCCTCTTCACCCTCCCCTTCAAGCTCTGCAGTATCTCAGCCAAACTGTCGACATCGCGAAAATACCAGACGGAATGAACCAGCACCGCCACGTCCCACTTCTTGTTCTTGTTTCTCTCGTCCTCGGCGAGAAGAAACTGGACTGGATCAGCTTGGTGGAAGGTGATGAGCTCGGGGAAGCCATATCCAGGTGAGGTCAGATAGGCTTGGGCCTGACCCAACGTGAACGGAGAGCAGCCGTCAGACTGGTATGTATGTTTTTCGAGTGAGAACACTTGTGAGAGCGGGGCAGGGTCGAGAGCGTCGATGTGCCCGTGGGGGGAGTGGGATAAGACGAGACGGGCGAGGGCATCGGTGGTGGTGCCCTGCCCGCAGCCGATTTCCAGGACACGGGTTGGGCGTTCGGGCAGGTGATCTTTGAGGAGGTTGTGGCGGTATTCAAGTTGGGCGTCGTATTGCTGGGACGAGAAGTAGCTGGGGCGGAGGTGGTGGTAGCCTTTTGTTTTGTTGGCGTCGTCGGGCATCTTGTACTGGGCGGTTACCTAGTTGGCTTGAGTTGCTTTTGTTGGGTCAGATGATGGGAGAGTAGATTGGATGAAGGTGTTGGTTGCTCCTGCCCTTTTTTACTCTTGCCTGAGATATCCGGGTGAGGTGCTTGTGTGGAGGTCTTGTCAGTGAGGAAAGTGCTCTGGTACTGTCATGAGGAAAGTGAGAACATCTTTTGAGTCGTCAGTCCCGTCAACCATGGGTCATCTTGACTCATCTGGTATACCTGTCACTATGTATTCTCTCATGGTGATGAGTAGAGATACAGCTCATAATCTGCCAATTTCATGATTCAGGGTCTCATTCCAATATGACAATCATGAATAAGTATATAGTGAGACATGCCTTAAGCATTATCCTCATTTTCATGCAGTAGCACAAGCGCCTGGCAACATCAAACATGTCACCAAGATGCCTTCAACCACGCCGAGCTATATGACAAAACAGTGCATCGGGAACAATACTAACAGAACACTCAACGCCTCATTCAGATTTATGGAGCACCAAACACACTTTTGGTTTCCGGAGCCCCAATGTCCGGATTCCCAATCCGTTCCCTTCATAACCCCCCTCCACAACTCCCACATACACTTAACATCCAAACCCAGCCCGCTTGGCTCAGTGGTAGAGCGTATCACTAGTAAGAAAAAAGTCGGAAAGTGGATCACATCCACCTCCACCTACCTTCAACACACTAGGTCAATGACAAGGTCATTAGTTCAATTCTGATAGTGGGCATCATATTTTGCTTCCATTCCTGTCTACTTTTTTCTTTTTTTTCTTTTTTTGTCGCTATTCCCCCACCTACATTCTCAATCATTTCCTCCCCTCCCAAACCTCCCTCAAACTCTTCACACCGCCACCACTCACCAAATCAACCCCCGAACCCACCGCCTCAGCCGTAACCTTCCTCCCCCCCGCCGGAATAACCGCACTCTCATCCCTAAACCCCCCGCCTGCCTCTCCGCCAACCTCTTCACCTCCTCTGCCTTCTCCCCCTCCCCTTCCTCAGGTATATACCCCCTCAACACCTCCCTCACATAACCCCCCGGCACCCCCTCCCTCAACGCATCCTCAATCCCCCTGTTCATCCTCACAATATACTCCTCCCTCGGTTTATAACCCCCCTGATCCCTCTTGAAATCAATATACACCAGCATCTCCACCTCCTCCCCCTTCCCCTTCTCCTCCTTCCCCTCCTTCCCCTCCTTCCCCTTTGTCCTCCCTACATCATCCGCCGTACCGTGACCCGCACCCTTCCCCCAAAACTCCACCGCAATCACCCTCTTCTCATACGCATACGGAACCCCTTCGTTAAGATCCAGCATTTTCTCGTCTTCTGGCGTAAGCCGATACACCAACCCCCACACCTCATCAGCTTCCGAAGGTGGCTCATCGAGAAAAGTCGGCGAGCGGGCCACGTTGGCGTACCCCCTCGCGTTGATGAACCACTTGTAGTTTCTTAGGCGGCCGAGGCCGATATACGCCGAAGAAGGGCAGCGGCGGGCCATCTGGTCGAGCCAGAGGTTGGAGCCGTAGGCGAAGTAGATTTTGTTGTCTGTGGTGCCCATGGTGAGTGAGGGGTGAGTGATGGTGTTATAAGTGGAAGGTGTAAGTTCGGGAAGAGTGGACGAAGATGGGTTAATGGGAGCGGTTTGGGATGATCTATATAAAGGAGGTGTGTATCTGAGTCCAAACTTTAAACACGGTTTCTTTGATAAGATTCTGCGCTGGATGAGTAACAGATCGAGTCAATAAGCGGGGTTTATTAAGGCGCAATTGCAATAGCTGTTTGGTTGGTGGCTGCCGCCATTGAAACTTGACCAAAGCCCTAACCCTGAGACTTACACCAGTTTAATAACCACCAGTTTCTGTGACATTAAACCCCTGATCATAAACAAGAGAGTTCCTGCAAGGGAAACTCAAAGAAGAGAATATACATCAGCAACATCGAGATGCGCTGGCAACATGTGTAACATGGTCCCCTCCATACGCCCACATTGACCCGCATGAGAACCCCTAACCCCCTTCTCACCATCCCTCAACAACCCCCAGCGGACGCCCAGCCACCCCTAAGCCTCCCCAGCACCCTCCTCCCTCGCCAACCCCTTCCTCCTCGCCTCATTCAACGCCTTCAACTTCGCCGTCCCAATCCCCGCCACCCCATCCCTCTGATTATCCCCCAACCAAGGCTTCTTCGAATCCCCCAGCACCGTCCCCGCCAAAAAATACACCACCATCCCAAAAATAATCAGCACAAACGCAATCGGATACATCCAGTGAATCGTGTACCCAAACACCCTCGTCCCAATAATCACCCCCCAAAAGTTCGCCGTCAACAAATTCACATCAAAAATCGCCGCGCTCCCCATCCGCAAAATCAGCGGCACCAACGAGTAGAAAATGAACAGACAAAAAGTATACCCCACCAACCACCCAGCCACATCCCCATTCCACGTCGCGCCCGCAAAGCTGTTCCTGTCAAAAATAGCCGCCTGAACGCCGTTGATGCACACCCCAAAGATGCCTAGAAAGCCCAAGACTTCATACATTGGCCTCTTGGAGACGAACCACTCCTCGTAGACATTCGAAACGCCGTACAGCGTCGCTCCCAAAAGACCAAAGAGATCGCCTTTGATCATGTCCTTCCCGTTGCCGCCGTTGGTGCCATTGATGTGATCGCTTGCAAGCAAGACACCCATGCCGCCGCAGCAGATGAGGATACCTGCTATCTGGACGATTCTATACCTGACTTTGAGGAGGAAGAAAGACAGAATGACAACGCAAACAATAGCCCAAAAGTTGAGCAGCTGGGCAGACAAGATGTTGGTGTACTCGTAGGCCAAAACAGTAAAGTAGTTTCCCTGGACGTCGAGGAAGGACAAGATGAAATACTTCCAGCCGTCGCGCCAGAGGATGGACCGGTATTTCTCCCAGCCGTGCTTGTAGATGGTGTACGGGAGGTAAACTATCGTTAAAAGGGCGTAGTTGAAGAGAGTCTGGAAGGCTGGAATGATGGTGTTGACCGAGCTCAGGAAGGAGGTGAAGGTGTTGGAGCCGGTGATGCAGAGCGCGAGGATCTGGCCTAGGGCGATGATGGCCCAGAAGTCGACGGTCATGAGGTAGGAGTACCACTTGACATCCTGATTCTCGAGGTGCTTGAGGCCTGCGGCGACGGCGGCAGACTCAGAGTCGCTGTCGGTTGCGTGGCCCTCGGCGCTGATGCTGGTGGTGGTGGCGTGAGCGGTGGTCCCGTAGTCACCGGTGCCGTCTGTTTTGGCCATGACAGGCTCGACGGCGGTGTGAATGGTGTTGTTGTTATTGTCAGGCATGATGATTGTGTTGTTTCAAGTCCCCTAGAAAGTAGTTCTCTTGTAGTTGAAGTACTGGCTGTCTTAATATGTGGTAGTTCCTCGACCACAACTTGGTTAAATATAGATTACGCAGAGAATGTGTTTTCTCTGGATAAGTCTTTCTTACGTCCCCTCGAGCAAGCGCAAAGACTCAAAGTCGCCTGCCGTGAAGTTACTGATGTTTGGCTCGACGCATGAACGGGTGCGTCGAGAAGCGGAGAAAGTCGAGGGGCGCTTTGGATCGAGAAAAGCACATATAGTATTAGGTGAAGGTTAGGGTAGGAAAGAGAGCAAAACAACAGACGGTCAAACTTCCGTCGCGAGTTATTCTAGGTTCTAGAAAGAGCTGACTGGAGTATCAAGGACTTTTGAGCTTTTGAGTGAAGCAAGAGGGGAAAAAAAGAGAGGGCTCTGAGCGGGGTTTGTTGTTTCCCGCTAGAATATGAAGAGCGATTCTTGGCGAGCAAGCCACGGTGAGTTAGTGATCGTGGGTGGGCGGCAACCCTTGAAAATATTTGCAAAAAAAAACCGTTGAGTGGAAGGAGCCCAGCGGGGCCGGGTTGATGTCCGTTAAAGTTCGCCGGGATTTGTCTTGGCACCCGCGGGCGGAGCTGTGGGGGCATCAAAAGCGGGGTGCATTCGGGAGGCCGGTTTCGGTGGGCCCCCCGAGGCACCGCATTTTGGTCGATGTTCCGTACATACGGCTAACACCATCTATGCCGAAGTGGCTTACCGGAATTAAGACGGCTAATGACCGAGTCAGTCTTGGATGTCGTCCTAATAAGCTTCCACAGACTTGCTCACCTCGCAGAGTGTCTATCGCTTCATCTGCCGTATAATCTCATCATGTTTAGCTCATCGGCAAACCTCCTAAAGACAGTCAACCATGGTAATCGAAGCGAAACCGAAACCGAAAATATTGCCAACATGAACATCCTTCAAGAACACCTTTATACCCGAGTGACCTCGGACTTGCCGGACTCATGCTTACAAATGTTATCTCTTACCAGTTGATCAAGATGTCATCATGGCTTATTGATCAGGTCTCTGGAGGGGTATAAAACACTCACAATCAACCAGCGTCTCAGTTGGCAGCATCACCTCTCGACTTCTTTGCTTCACCCTCAAGCTTCACTTGTTAGTCTTCGCCATGGCTCCTTCTGCTTACCACAAGCTCCAATCCAAGCATGTCCTCATCCTTGGAGGAAGTTCAGGAATAGGGACGCTGTAGCAGATGGCTCACTTGCCTCTGGGGCCAAAGTAACCATCTCCTCCTCGTCTCAAACCAAGGTTGGCGCCGCCGTTTCCCGTCTCAAGTCAGAGTATCCTTCTCAGCCAGACACGATTACTGGCATTCCCGCCGACCTCTCCAATCCAGCCACGGTGGAAGATGTCCTTGACAGTTTGTTCAAGAAAGCCGAGTCCAGCCACGGTACCATCCATCATGTCGTTCTCACAGCTCCGTCCTCCCTTGTCCTCGGGCCCGTGGAAACTATGTCTGTAGATGACATCCTCTCGACTTCTCACATGCGCCTCGTTCTTCCCATTATTCTAGGCAAAGTCGCATCTCGATACCTTCCAAAGGAAAACACTTCCAGCATCATCATCACCAGTGGCGCTGTCACCAAAAAGCCAGGCAAGGGGTGGACTTTGATGAGCTACTATGGCGGTGGACTCTCAACTTTGGCCAAGGCGCTGGCGGTTGATCTCGCGCCGATTAGAGCCAATGTTGTTCGGCCTGGATATGTTGAAACAGAAATGTGGACTGAAGAGCATAAGGCTGTCATGCCGGAGGTTGTCGCCAAGACAACGCTCACTGGTATACCCGCTAAAGGGGAGGCTGTCGCGGAGGCGTATCTGTGGTTGATGAAAGACAGCAATGTGACTGGGGCGGCAGCGGAGACGGATTCTGGTGGGCTGTTGGCTTGATATGGCTGAGTTGATCCTGATATCTAGATGGTGGGCTGTGAATGAGAATGTTAGTGAAATTGCAAAACATCGAAATGTCAGCCGCCATATGCATCGATCGGTTGATGAGAAAAAATGACCCGCTTGACACCTGCCGGAGCCCTTGTCAGGGATCTTCCCATGTTTTGCAGAGAGACACAAGTTTCAATGTCCTACAAAGAGTAGAGCAATTAGTATGATGTTTCTCCCTTCGTTCGACTACAATCAACAAGTCCCCAGAATCTCATAACTTACCTCTGTTCCTCGATCCTTTGGCCCGTCCATCGTATATTTTTCGAGTTATAGCAAGGCGGTATCCAATTGCGCGTCCCATTTCCGGGCCTTGCTCCCACTTTATTTCTCTGTGTACGTCTGACAATGGAATTGTCTCGTGTTGGAGATGACGCGGCTTACACGAGCTCGTTTAAGTGTACTCCA